GAGTACTTAGGAGTACCAGTTTTTTTTTTTTAAATAGAAGAATATAATTCAGGAAAAGCCTGATGGAAGAGATACTTAGAACAAGGAATAGAAAAGGGCACGGAGTGTTTATGCTCCCTTTGAGTACTGTACTCTCTCCAGATCTCTACATGTTCACCAAGCTGGAAGCTCCCAAGTAGTTAATATTTTTATGGGGGCTTCATTATGTAGGCACACTTATTTAAATCATTGGCCTTTGGTTATTGAACTCGATCTCTAGCTTCTTCCTGGGAGTTTAGGGGAGAGGCTGAAAGTTCCAACCCTTTAATCAGGTTGGTGGTTCCCCTGATGACCTACTACTATCCTTAGGTTACTAGGGGCTTTCCAAAACTCACCTCATTAACATAAACTCAGTTGTAGTCGAAAAGGGCTTGTTATGAATAACAAGACATTTCCATTTGAACTTCATGGCTCTGAAGCATTTCAGGAATTGAGGACAAAAGACCAAATATTATAACAAAAGATGCCTCTATGGCTCCTATATAGGAAATTGCAAGTTTTAGAAGCTATGTGCCAGAAACTGATACATAGCTCCTAAAACTTACAATATAAATTTCTTATTATAAATTGCAATGTCACACCATCTGCAGTAGTCATGAATTAATGTGAACAGTTGACAAAAGCTTGGAAATACCTATGATAGGGATAGGTAGATAAATATTTGCAATGAAAAACTTGCAATTGGAGTAGTTACATAAACTTGACTATAACTAAAATAATGCATGTTGACTCAAGTAAACCCTTACTGATACAGCTTTTTGTGCCTTTTCTCTCCTTTATAGACCATTGGAACGATCCAGTGAAGATGTAGATATAATCTTTACACGGCTGAAAGAAGTTAAAGCTTTTGAGAAATTTCACCCAAATCTCCTACATCAGATTTGTTTATGTGGTTATTATGAGAATCTGGAGAAAGGAATAACATGTAAGAAATGCAACTCCAGGGGTGTATTGTCATTTATGGTTTGTGCTTATTTGTGGTTTTCCTGTGGAGATAGATGGCACATGGGGTATTTATATGCCAAATATTTGAGCTTCAGTTGAAGGTATTAGGTAGACATTTCCCTCTTCTTTGTTTATTCAATTCCATTTAGGTATTTCCTTAACTCCTTTCTTGCTGTATTCTTAGAAATTCAAATAATGGTTTTCTTGAACCCAAGAAATATATTCATCAGTAGGATGTTAAAGAAAGATAAAGGTCTCTTAACTAAAGCTAATAGTAATATTTTGGATTAACCTCAGTGACATCATCTATTTCAGGTATGAATAAGGGGCAGAGGTAATAAAACGATAGGGTGATAACTACATTTACAAAAAGCATTTTTTCATTAAAAAATAATGCTTTTATGTTGGGACACTTTCTGCTGAAGTAATAGAAAACTTTATCCAATTGGCTCGAATAATCAATTACTTGTATAAGAGGAAAAATCAATTACTCATATACCAGAAGTCTTCAGGGTTGGTTAATAAGGATGGTTTCAGTGTTGGCTAATTAAGTGGCCAATCACATTATTTAGGTGGCAGAGCCCTCCATCTTTGTTTTTTTAGTTCGTTTTTCTTTGTTTGGTATGCATTCCCAGATGTTGGCTTTTGACCTCAGACTTGTCCCAAATGATTCTTAGACATCTATAGCAGTTGGAGACATTACACGCCATTACAAAAACATTCTGCCACAGACTATTTCTTCTTGTGCCTCTTTTTCAGAAATCCTCCAGCAGACTTTCTGTATTGTTTTATTGGCCAGAATTGCATCACATGCCCATGTTTAAGCCAATTACTGGCAAAGAAAATGGTATCATGTGATTGAATTAGACCAATTGTGATTACCCCAGTGATGCTAGGAAAGAAACTCACATGCTCTGAACACTTGGCCCTTGAAGGAGGGCAGAAGCTTACATATAATTCTTGTGTATATAATAATGTTCAGTTAGATAAGAAGAAGGGAGGGCATAATTCCAGATGAGAAACCATCAAGGTTTGTCACAACATCATTGTAGAAAATTTAAAAGACAAAATAAAAATCACCTGCAATCCCCAAACCCAGAGATGACTACTAATACTCTGAGTGTGTCCTTAGAGATGTTTTCCCATGTGTACACATACAATTACAATTCTATTAAAAAATCATCCATGTATATTGTTTTCAAACTAATATTTTTATTGATATCAGAAACTTTATGCTCTTGGGTATGAGACTCTATTTTCTGTTTTTTAAAGCTATTTTCAGAATGTATCTATGATACATAATGTGAATTTGATTGGCAAGCGATAATGCCTTTGGGGGCTAGAAAGTTCATAAAATGGCAAAGCCCTAACTCTAAAACAAGTCACTTACCAAGGCCAGGAACAGCAGTTAAGGGAGAGGCCAGCTATAAACTCATCAGTTCCCCATCTTAAGCTTATCATTGCACTTGGTAGGATGCCATTGTCATTCTTTGCCTTTCCACAGCATGTCTTAGTCACGGAGTTGAGAGCAGCTTGTCAGCATTAATTATGGCTCCCAGAGGCTTGCTCTTATGCATTGAGCATTAGCCTTGCCAGAATTCATCTGTCCCACTGAGCTGTCATGGATTTCTCACTGAATCACTAGACCTCTGACTCTAACTGTGAAAAGAATTTTACAATATCAGATCATTCCATCTAGTTATTTAGCTGGCATATTTAAAAGAATGGTTAGGTTTGTATGAGATTTTTGCACCAGTGTTTCAGAATGACTTTTCCATGTATTGGCCTTAACATGATATGGGAGCTAAGGTTCTCTTTAAATATCTAAATGTGAAGTGAAATCACATCCAGAAACTTGTGAGGAAAGTTATTTCCAAAGAGCAGTTAACTCCTAATGCCTAAAAATGGCGAACTTATAAAACAAACAGAGAAAAAGGGCAGTGATAACACAGTAGTTAAAATTTTTCAAGCAGATTTTATTTTTCTTAGTCATTCATTGTTTAGCTTAAAAGGAGACATTCTATCTTAGAAAACATATTGCTTTTAATATAAATAGACTTAAAAAATTGGGGTAAAATCTGGTTTTGTTAAGTCAAACAACCTTATATCCTTTAATATGTACCCCATCCAAAATCACAATTTTCCAAGAATCGCCATACAATGAAGTGTATTCAAGATAAATTACATAGAACATCACTCAATTCATCTTAAATTCAAAGGATCCTATAGTATGTCGGTTCATCGTCCCTATGACTGCTCTGTAAATATGAAAGAGTTTGGTTTAATAGAGTTCTACTTCATAGAATATTAAATAGGATATAGCTTTGATGATAGATGAGGAACAGAAAAATATATCCTGTTCTTGTGGGAATAGAGGAACAGTAGAAAGCTCAGCTAGGTCCAATTTATGTTTATAATACCAGTTAGAAACCCTCAGGTCATACGGTAAAATCATCTTGTAGTTGGTTTATTGACATCACTGTTTCTTTTTTAGTGTTTCGTCAAGGTGATATTGGAACAAACTGGTATGCTGTCCTGGCAGGATCTTTGGATGTTAAAGTATCTGAAACCAGCAGTCACCAGGTAAGATACTTTATTCTCTTTTTTTTAAAGTAGGATTTATTATTATTATTTTTAAGACACATTACTTTTATATCTTTTATGCTATCACAATTACATTTTCAAACCCGTTTCCTCTTTCCCGTAGTAAGGATTTCAAGTATTTGATGAACTACTTTACTCAGTAATTCAAGAAACATATATTTTGAATATTTTCTGTGATTTGAATATGGTGCCAGGTGTTGGAACATGAGATGCAAGAACACATGGCCTGCTTTCCAGGAGCTTGTTCTCTAGTGGGAAATGCAAACAAATCATTTGCAATGTGATGAAGTGCTGTTGTGTGAGGTGAAATGTGAGCCAAGGGGGAAGGAGAAGCAAGTCTTCCTAGGCTTCTCCTTAGCTCCTTAAGATCCTTCATCTGGTTTCCTGACTTTTTTGTGTCCTGGAAGCCGTTTAAGGTGCTCCAGGGAAGCAGGGTTCAATGTGGTCAGTACAGTCCTCTTAAAATCTCTCATTATTTCTCAACCTCATTTTTTCAAATACGAGAGGGCCAGTAATAACTTTATTTTGCTAAAGTGCAGCATAGCTTCCTTTATCTTCAATGGTCACCTCTGAGGAGGTTGGTATCCTAGAAGAGAAACTCATATTCTTCTCCCGCCCCTGCCATGACAATGTGTGTAAATATTTGAAATTGGACCCAGAGTCTCCTTTCACATCTGCAGTGACCCTTAGTCCATCATTCTTCCATGTGGCTGACATGTACAACCTTCCTGTTTAGAGCCAAGAACCTCGAAACTCAAAAGAATGACTCCTAGGGGCCATCATCAAGCTTCAGTATGAAAATGATCCAGATTTTCTATCTATATATTCAGGACTCATTTAAAAACTAAGAGAAGAGAATTGGCCAATTGTACAATTGGAAAGAATGATCAAGAAAAATTAGAGAAACAGTTAAAGGAACAAATAACCTATAAACAAATACCATGTTTAAGAAAGTGCTTCTGAACCTAGTGTACTTCAAATGTAAGAAATGTTTATGATGTACTAAATTTGAGGTTTAAATTTTTAGGAACTTATGTGCATATTGGAGTTGTGGGCAGTTACCATCTAAAAAACGTAGAAGTGTCCCAAAAGATTATTGGTAAGATGGGCATTTGGCATTTGGAATATAGTTGCCTGTGTTATACCCATTGTTATAGATGGCTAGAGTCTCAGGCCAGTGCCAAAGCCCTTCTTAACCTATAGCGTACTTTTTCTATGCATCAGTACATTGAAAGTTCCATCATAAACTGCATGGAACCTATACCTCCTGGCCTTGATGGTACTGTCCCTCTTCCCCTCTCTTGTAGGGCTGGGTTTCTCTTGGATTTCAGAGAGGGGTAAGGTGAGAAGTGGGTTTTGATTCTTGCCAGCTGCCTCAATTTCCCAGTGGGACTGAAGACAGCTAACATTTCTATCTGCCATGTGCTAGGCAGTGTTCTAAGCACTTAACGGGTATTTATTTACTCCTTTAATCCTCACAATAACCCTATGGGGTAGGTCATATTACTGTTCTCACTTTATAGATGAGGACACTAAGCCCTGAGTAGTTAAATAAAGTGCCCAAGTAACGCGTCTAGAAATTAGGGGAACTAAAATTAAAACCCAAGCAGTTAGGCACTTGCTCTTATGTTCTTATGTTCTGTGCTATTTGACTGAAAAGGAACACGATGAAGCATGGAATGTCCCTCTCTCTCTGCCGCCTCTCGTCTTTTCAGACTACCCATATCCCTTATCTCTACACACCTTCTCCCTGCGGACTGCTCTCCTGGTGTGTACTCTCTGGGCCCTTTTGCTCAGAGCTGCTCCCGATGCCTGCCCTCACCCAGTCTCACGTGCATGGATGTGCAGAGGGGATAGGACCTAGGAGAGGATGATTCTCCTTGCTCCTCCAGGCAATCTTGAAAGAGTAATGATGGAGGGAGGGGAGAAGCTGAAAAGAGAGAGGTGAGGAAAGAGAGGAAAGGAAAGGAAGATGAGAATGAAGGAGGAGAAAGGCAAAAAGGAAAGAAAAACACAGGGGAGAGAGATGAAGAAAGAATAATAATAATAATTAATTAAAGGCAGAGCAGATGTACCTAAGGGATGATAAATCACATCAGCAGCGAGGGGCTGATGCATCCGATGTTAAAAGCTGGTGTGAGATTTTGATGGTATTAAAAATAGTATTTGACCAGAAGCTCTTGGAATATTGCTGTGGACCAATTATCTCTCACTGTGGGGTCCTGGCATGAAACAGCTGAGTAACACTGTTAGTAGCTGTAGGGTTTTTTTTTTTTTTTAATTTTAATAAACTTTTAACTCTAAATTTTAGCTTTGGTTTTGGCCTCAAACTTAACGCAAAGAACTTCCCTAAGCTGCGCTTGGTAGTCTCTTAAGTTGTTAGGAATTATTAGCTTTATGTCAAAGCTGGCTTCCTGCCTCCTCTGTGTACTTCACTCCACAATGTCCAACCAGGGTTTTCTGGATTGATTTGTGTAGTCGCTCAGATGTAAAGATGAGAAAACACATTGCCCTCTACATCTTCCAACCCTCCAGAGAGTAGCCTGAGATAGACAGAGGGCCCAGCCTTGCAGCCAGCTCTGACAGGCAGAGAATAGTTCTAGTCGTGTGTGAGAAGGAAGCTAAGGAGACTGAGCAAGTTGGTTGAACCACCTTCCATGGCAGATTGCTCGAAAGAGAGAAACAAAAAAGCCATTTTTATCCATACTGGCCTTTGAATTGGCTCTGCATCTCTACCCACTAGTGGTGTGTCCAAATCAGGGTGATGGGTTAGCCAATCTGAGTAGTACCCTATATAAGTCAGGGTTCTCCAGAGAAACAGAACCAACAGGAGATAGATAGATAGGTAGGTAGACAGATAGATAGATAGAGATTTATTTTAAGGAATTGACATGCAATTGTGGGGGCTGGCAAACTCAAAATTTGTAGGCAAACTGACAGGCTGGAGATTCATGTAAAAGTTGATGCTGCAGTCTTGAGTCCCAAAGCTGGAAAGTCAGGCAGAATTTCTATGTTGCAGTCTGGAAGCAGAGTTATTTCTTCTTTGAGAAATCTCAAGGGAAACTTGTTTGCTCTTAAGACCTTCAACTGATTAGATGAGGCTCGCCCACATTATGGAGGATAATCTACTTTACTTAAAGTCTACTGATTACAAATGTCTAAAAAAACCACATCTAAAAAATACTTTTACAGCAAAATATAGACTAATGTTTTACTAAGGAATTATGTTACCATAGTCTAGCCAAGTTGACATAAAATTAACCATTACATATCTCAATGGGGAGCAAAATGGGAATGGGTCATGGGCGATGGGAGGAAAAGCAAGGAAAGACCTGGAATTCCTACCCCTAGAGACCAGTAGCAACATTGCTCATTGTCTTCACTGTGTCACACTGTGTGCTAGGGGTTAGTGTACATGAACTGATTTCATCTCTAGGCGTTCATTTCCTATTTTACAATGGGCTTGAAAACAAGGCTCAGAGGTATCAGGTATAACTCTCTGCGCCACACACATGTACATGGCCAGATTAAGATCTGGATTCAGGTCTCTCACACTCCAAATTTCATCTTCTTCCTGCTGCTCACACAAGAAAAACGGTGGGTAGGGGGCAGTAAAAGAAAAAGAAGAAAGGTTAAAAGAGACTAAGAGAGTGGAAAGAGAAAAGAGGTAACAGCACAGACAGAGTTAAAAATGTTTTAATGGATAGTGTGGATTTTCTTGCTAGCCTATCCCTCCATTTTTGTTCCTCACGTCTTTCCCTGCCCTATATGCCTGTCTTCTCATCTGAGACTCTGAGGAGGTGGCAAAGGTAAATTCCCAAACTTACCTGTGAGTTTCAGGTCCTCGGTGACCTGTTAGCTGAGGCAGAATGGGAAGAGAAGAGCAGAGATAGCTAATGGTAATGGTTCGCTCACTATAAGCAACTTTGTGCAAAGCACTGTACAAGCATCATTTCACTGGCTACTCACTACACTGCCCTCTGCCATTTAGTGCTATTATTAGTCTCATTTTTTCAGGTGAGATGCTAAATAACTTGCCCAAAGTCATACAGCCATTACTTATCAGAGCCAGTTCTTCGCGATGCTAGGGCTCAAGTTCTTGACCATTATGGTTGCACAGTTGCCATCCAGAAGGAATAATTAATGTGGGAAAAGCAGATTTTCCCTTGCAGCTCCTGCAACCTCCCTTTTGCATTTCTGACCCCAGCTCAGAGCTCCACACCTCTTTACCTCTAAACCCACCTCGCAGGTGTTTGCTCTACCTGAGGCATGCAGTTGGGGAAGGCCCACTTCTCACACTCTGCGGTGCTGCCCCTGGGATGTGGGGCCCTCCTTCCACCACCTTTCAGATCTGTAGATACACAGTTAAATGAATGTGGCCTATCCTTTCAAAAGGCTTCTAGGTTAGAGGGCGGGACAGATAAGTATGGGTGATAAGGAGGGAGATTGAGGTACGTAGTATGTGCAAAGTAGAGATAAAATGGTTAGAATTGGTGCTGATGGGATGTACAGGGGTTGAGAGAAAGGGAGGAATCTGACTTGGATGAAGAGGTAGATGGCGATGCCGTGAATTGAAACAAGGAACACATAATAAAGAAAACCCTTCACAGATTCTGGTATACTATTTTTATGTCATACATTTATTAGGTATTATTGATTTGATGGAATTTTTCTGAACAGAATCACTTTATTTCTTTTATGTGGTGATAAGAAAATATAACTATATATAACTTTTGAGAATACCTAGGGCATAAATATTTTATTTGGCTCATAAGTTCATATTACCTTCCTGCCAGTTTCAATACAATATTACTTTTTCTCCTTTCTCATCATTTCCTTATAGCTTTTTGCTCAGTAGGTTAAGAAAACACAGCTTTTTGCCTTCTATATGATTGGACAGGTTCTTTTAAATTCTTTGGACTCTAGATTGAGGTCACATTTACTTCTTCTCATTGACGTTGTCCTACAAGCATAGCAGT